ACTTGCTTTTTGCACTCCAGAAGTGCTGAAAAAAATCAGTTATGGGGTAATATGATGAAAGTTTAAAAAAAAAATCAAACTCTGGTGGCATCCCAATTAAACTGGAATAACTTTTTAAAATACATTCACAGCTAACATCTAAGTACTGTGTATGGAAGATGTTTTGATGTTTAATTTAGCAAAAAGTTTAATTTTGTCTAATTAGTAACCTCCCTAACCACCCCCAAGTGACTTTTAAAAAAATGCTATACTTTTCTGCCTTTTAAAATGTGTGCCAATTTAGTATATGTGAATGGTGCCAGACTAACATCCCTGGAAACTGAAATATTATATTTATCTATGAAACATATGATTATGAAAAGGAAAACAAACAATAACAAAATATATATTTATATAGCTCCCCGACCGCTCCAGCACAACAGGTATTATACAACAATTAAGTAAAAGCACAGAACAACAGAAACACCAATATCATTTTTAGAAAACCCTTTACAACCAAAAATAAATAATAAATCAAATCAAAATAAGTGAAATATACTAGTAGCAAGGGGCCAACAATAGATATCGTAAAAAACCACCTTTGGAAAATATAGGTTCTTGTTGTTCTCTAAGGGGTGTTTCTGTATGTGAGGAAAGCATCCCCTGGAGCCTTGAGCCTGCATCCTCATAGCCAACTGACAGTTGGGAGTGCACAAGTGCCCCCTTTTGGTGGCAAGCTTTCAATGTTCAAGGTTATAAAAGGCAGTGTGGCTCCGCAACTATCGAAAGCAGGGGTGGCGAACCTGAGCCTGAGAAGGAGCCAGAATTTAGCAATGTACATTGCCAAATGTAATATGTCAGCATTCCCCACATCAGCTTCCCTCCCGCCCCCCCACTTCCAGCGCCTCCCACCCACCGGCAGCCCAACCAACCAGCGCCTCCTGCTCCCTCCCCACATCTCCCGATCAGCTGTTTCGTGGTGTGCAGGAGGCTGGGGGGGGGGGGGGGAAGGTGGGAGAAAAGGAGGAGTGAAGGCACGGCAGGCCCAGGGGCAGGAAGGGGTGGTGTGCGGGCAGGGCTTGGGACAGAGCCAGGGGCTGAGCAGTGAGCACCCCCCCACACACACACACACATTGGAAAGTTGGCACCTGTATCTCCAGCCCCAGAGTCCTATACAAGGAGCCGCATATTAACTTCTGAAGAGCCACATGTGGCTCCGGAGCCACAGGCTGGCCACCCCGATCCAAAGGCTCGTCTAACTGAACACTGATGGCTTGTCTATATGAACATTTAGTTCACAGCAAGCTGGGCTGTGAACTACCTCCCTCGTTGAAATGGGACTATATGAAAGCAAACTAATGAATTGCTAATGCATGACAGCAGGGTCCATACAATTAGTCCATGGTGGCTACTGTGGTGCCAACCCCAACCTGCCTTGAATTAAATGATCGTGTAGAAAAGCCCTTGGTTTGCAGCAAACCAGGATAAATAGACCTTGTGCTAGCCTGCCACACACTAAGTGTCCCACACTAAGTGGATCCTGCTGCCCATTTTCAAGCGGGGTATATCAAAACCCACTAGGGAACTTTTAGTGTGCAACAGCAGGACACTTACTGCACGTCAGGCTAGTGTTCAAATGACCAGTTCTCTAAGGACTAAAGGGAGAAGATTACATAAATCTAGTTAGGATTATATTCAGACCCATCTGGAGTAAGCTCTCTAACTGGTGTGTAGGTATTAAGGATACTCTTTGTGAATTTCAAGACAGCAGGGTAACTGAATAATCTGATTCCACCTTAAAGTCCACAACAAACAGAGAAGACTAACAGACATGCCAATCAATATTAATCTGATAGCCCAGATAACTTGATGCCAGAACCTAGTCCTGGATCTGTAGGATTGAGGCTAAGTGAAACTGTAGATTGTTCTCATTCGCTCAGATGGAAAATCTTTTCTATTTTTGTGTATAGCTGTGACACTGAGCCAGCCAGGGTTAAAAAACTAGCAGACTAAGTGACCCAAAATCCACTTTTAAGAATATATTAGGGAAGTATTGAAACGGTAAACAGGGCCATTTCTTGTAGATAGTTACCAAAGCCATGTAAGTAGACTAAATCCTTTGAAATGTAAACCTATTATATAACAGGCCCAGACCAGATGGGTGCAGGAGTCTGGCAGAAGGCAGATATACTGGCTACTGGATGAATAGTTTTCTGTTCCCTGAGTGAACAGAGCAGGGGCTGCCCTAGAGCAATCAGGAACCTGCTAGAACCAACTAATCCTATGTCTACACAACGGAATAAGGCTGAATTTATAGAAGTCGGTTTTTTAGAAATCGGTTTTATATATTCGAGTGTGTGTGTCCCCACAGAAAATGCTCTAAGTGCATTAAGTGCATTAACTCGGCGGAGTGCTTCCACAGTACCGAGGCTAGAGTCGACTTCCGGAGCATTGCACTGTGGATAGCTATCCCACAGTTCCCGCAGTCTCCGCTGCCCATTGGAATTCTGGGTTGAGATCCCAATGCCTGATGGGGCTAAAACATTGTCGCGGGTACATATCGTCAGGCCCCCGTTCCCTCCCTCCCTCCGTGAAAGCAAGGGCAGACAATCGTTTCGCGCCTTTTTTCCTGAGTTACCTGTGCAGACGCCATACCACGGCAAGCATGGAGCCCGCTCAGGTAACCGTCACCCTATGTCTCCTGGGTGCTGGCAGACGCGGTACGGCATTGCTACACAGTAGCAGCAATCCATTGCCTTCTGGCAGCAGACGGTGCAGTACGACTGGTAGCCGTCCTCATCGTGTCCGATGTGCTCTTGGCCATGTCGGCTGGGAGCGCCTGGGCAGACATGGGCGCAGGGACTAAATTTGGAGTGACTTGACCAGGTCATTCTCTTTAGTCCTGCAGTCAGTCCTATTGAACCGTCTTATGGTGAGCAGGCAGGCGATACGGATTGCTAGCAGTCGTATTGTACCATCTTCTGCCGGGCAGGCAAGAGATGAGGATGGCTAGCAGTCGTACTGTACCATCTTCTGCTGAGCAGCCATGAGATGTGGATGGCATGCAGTCCTTCTGCACCGTCTGCTGCCAGCCAAAGATGTAAAAGATAGATGGAGTGGATCAAAACAAGAAATAGACCAGATTTGTTTTGTACTCATTTGCCTCCTCCCCTGTCTAGGGGACTCATTCCTCTAGGTCACACTGCAGTCACTCACAGAGAAGGTGCAGCGAGGTAAATCTAGCCATGTATCAATCAGAGGCCAGGCTAACCTCCTTGTTCCAATAACAACGATAACTTAGGTGCACCATTTCTTATTGGAACCCTCCGTGAAGTCCTGCCTGAAATACTCCATGATGTAAAGACACCCCCTTTGTTGATTTTAGCTCCCTGAAGCCAACCCTGCAAGCCGTGTCCTCAGTCGTCCCTCCCTCCATCAGAGCAACGGCAGACAATCGTTCCACGCCTTTTTTCCGTGCGGACGCCATACCAAGGCAAGCATGGAGGCCGCTCAGCTCACTTTGGCAATTAGGAGCACATTAAACACCACACGCATTATCCAGCAGTATATGCAGCACCAGAACCTGGCAAAGCGATACCGGGCGAGGAGGCGACGTCAGCGCGGTCACCGTGAGTGATCAGGACATGGACACAGATTTCTCTGAAAGCATGGGCCCTGCCAATGCATGCATCATGGTGCTAATGCGGCAGGTTCATGCTGTGGAACGCCAATTCTGGGCTCGGGAAACAAGCACAGACTGGTGGGACTGCATAGTGTTGCAGGTCTGGGACGATTCCCAGTGGCTGCGAAACTTTCGCATGCGGAAGGGCACTTTCATGGAACTTTGTGACTTGCTTTCCCCTGCCCTGAGGCGCATGAATACCAAGATGAGAGCAGCCCTCACAGTTGAGAAGCGAGTGGCGATAGCCCTGTGGAAGCTTGCAACGCCAGACAGCTACCGGTCAGTTGGGAATCAATTTGGAGTGGGCAAATCTACTGTGGGGGCTGCTGTGATGCAAGTAGCCCACGCAATTAAAGATCTGCTGATATCAAGGGTAGTGACCCTGGGAAATGTGCAGGTCATAGTGGATGGCTTTGCTGCAATGGGATTCCCTAACTGTGGTGGGGCCATAGACGGAACCCATATCCCTATCTTGGCACCGGAGCACCAAGCCACCGAGTACATAAACCGCAAGGGGTACTTTTCAATAGTGCTGCAAGCTCTGGTGGATCACAAGGGACGTTTCAACAACATCAAAGTGGGATGACCGGGAAAGGTACATGACGCTCGCATCTTCAGGAACTCTGGTCTGTTTCAAAAGCTGCAGGAAGGGACTTTATTCCCAGACCAGAAAATAACTGTTGGGGATGTTGAAATGCCTATATGTATCCTTGGGGACCCAGCCTACCCCTTAATGCCATGGCTGATGAAGCCGTACACAGGCAGCCTGAACAGTAGTCAGGAGCTGTTCAACTACAGGCTGAGCAAGTGCAGAATGGTGGTAGAATGTGCATTTGGACGTTTAAAGGCGCGCTGGCGCAGTTTACTGACTCGCTTAGACCTCAGCGAAACCAATATTCCCACTGTTATTACTGCTTGCTGTGTGCTCCACAATATCTGTGAGAGTAAGGGGGAGACGTTTATGGCAGGGTGGGAGGTTGAGGCAAATCGCCTGGCTGCTAGTTACGCGCAGCTACACACCAGGGCGGTTAGAAGAGCACAGGAGGGCGCGGTACGCATCAGAGAATCTTTGAAAACCAGTTTCATGACTGGCCAGGCTACGGTGTGAAAGTTCTGTTTGTTTCTCCTTGATGAAACCCCCCGCCCCTTGGTTCACTCTGCTTCCCTGTAAGCTAACCACCCGCCCCTCCTCCCTTCAATCACCGCTTGCAGAGGCAATAAAGTCATTGTTGCTTCACATTCATGCATTCTTTATTCATTCATCACACAAATAGGGGGATAACTACCAAGGTAGCCCAGGAGGGGTGGTGGAGGAAGGAAGGAAAATGCCACACAGCACTTTAAAAGTTTACAACTTTAAAATTTATTGAATGACAGCCTTCTGTTTTTTGGGCAATCCTCTGTGGTGGAGTGGCTGGTTGGCCGGAGGCCCCCCCACCGCGTTCTTGGGCGTCTGGGTGTGGAGGCTATGGAACTTGGGGAGGAGGGCGGTTGGTTACAGAGGGGCAGCAGTGGCAGTCTGTCCTCCAGCTGCCTTTGCTGCAGCTCAACCATACACTGGAGCATACTGGTTTGGTCCTGCAGCAGCCTCAGCATTGAATCCTGCCTCCTCTCATCACGCTGCCGCCACATTTGAGCTTCAGCCCTGTCTTCAGCCCGCCACTTACTCTCTTCAGCCCGCCACTTACTCTCTTCAGCCCGCCACCTCTCCTCCCGGTCATTTTGTGCTTTCCTGCACTCTGACATTATTTGCCTCCACACATTCGTCTGTGCTCTGTCAGTGTGGGAGGACAGCATGAGCTCGGAGAACATTTCATCGCGAGTGCGTTTTTTTTTCTTTCTAAGCTTCACTAGCCTCTGGGAAGGAGAAGATCCTGTGATCATTGAAACACATGCAGCTGGTGGAGAAAAAAAAAGGGACAGCGGTATTTAAAAAGACACATTTTATAAAACAGTGGCTACACTCTTTCAGGGTAAACCTTGCTGTTAACATTACATACATAGCACATGTGCTTTCGTTACAAGGTCGCATTTTGCCTCCTCCCACCGCGTGACTACCCCCTCAACCTTCCCCCCTCCCTGTGGCTAACAGCGGGGAACATTTCTGTTTAGCCACAGGCAAACAGCCCAGCAGGAATGGGCTCCTCTGAGTGTCCCCTGAAGAAAAGCACTCTATTTCAACCAGGTGACCATGAATTATATCTCACTCTCCTGAGGATAACACAGAGAGATAAAGAACGGATGTTGTTTGAATGCCAGCAAACATACACTGCAATGCTTTGTTCTACAATGATTCCTGAGTACGTGTGACCGGCCTGGAGTGGTAAAGTGTCCTACTATGAAGGACGCAATAAGGCTGCCCTCCCCAGAAACCTTTTGCAAAGGCTTTAGGACTACATCTAGGAGAACCGCAAATGCCAGGGCAAAGTAATCCTTTCACATGCTTGCTTTTAAACCATGTATAGTATTTTAAAAGGTACACTCACCAGAGGTCCCTTCTCCGCCTGCTGGGTCCAGGAGGCAGCCTTGGGTGGGTTCGGGGGGTACTGGCTCCAGGTCCAGGGTGAGAAACAGTTCCTGGCTGTCGGGAAAACCGGTTTCTCCGCTTGCTTGCTGTGAGCTATCTACAACCTCCTCCTCATCATCATCTTCTTCGTCCCCAAAACCTGCTTCCATATTGCCTCCATCTCCATTGAAGGAGTCAAACAACACGGCTGGGGTAGTGGTGGCTGAACCCCCTAAAATGGCATGCAGCTCATCATAGAAGCGGCATGTTTGGGGCTCTGACCCGGAGCGGCCGTTCACCTCTCTGTTTTTCTGGTAGGCTTGCCTCAGCTCCTTCAGTTTCACGCGGCACTGCTTCGGGTCCCTGTTATGGCCTCTGTCCTTCATGCCCTGGGAGATTTTCACAAAGGTTTTGGCATTTCGAAAACTGGAACGGAGTTCTGATAGCACGGATTCCTCTCCCCATACAGCAATCAGATCCCGTACCTCCCGTTCGGTCCATGCTGGAGCTCTTTTGCGATTCTGGGACTCCATCATGGTCACCTCTGCTGATGAGCTCTGCATGGTCACCTGCAGCTTGCCACGCTGGCCAAACAGGAAATGAGATTCAAAAGTTCGCGGTTCTTTTCCTGTCTACCTGACCAGTGCATCTGAGTTGAGAGTGCTGTCCAGAGCGGTCACAATGGAGCACTCTGGGATAGCTCCCGGAGGCCAATACCATCGAATTGTGTCCACAGTACCCCAAATTCGAGCCGGCAACATCGATTTAAGCGCTAATCCACTTGTCAGGGGTGGAGTAAGGAAATCGATTTTAAGAGCCCTTTAAGTCGAAATAAAGGGCTTCATTGTGTGGACAGGTGCAGGTTTACATCGATTTAACGCTGCTAAATTCGACCTAAAGTCCTAGTGTAGACCAGGGCTAAGGTTATGTAGGCAACACTACATGCTAATATAGGAAAATCCTTGCAATACCTTGGCATTATATGCTCCAAGATCCAATCATACCTATTCTGGCTTTGGTTGATTAAAGTTTGGCAACCCTATGGTTATTTTTTTCTGTATTTCTTCAAATAAGTTTGTAGGTAATTACTGTTTCTTTTCTGTAGAATGACAACAGTGCACTATGTATTTTGAAGGCAAGTCTGAAAACAAGGGCCCTGATTTTCCCCTACACTACAGCTGCTTTAGGCCTTTCCAGTAAAAGGGAGCAGAAACAGTTCTTGGGGAATACCATCAGTGTATGGAACCTCCCAGCCAGTATAACCATTCTGTGCCAGCTCCTCTCCTGGGCAATAGCATGAAGGGAATGCAAGGGGAGGGAGGAATGTTGAAGCATGGGTGGAGCAGCCTAATCTATACTGTAATTTATGCCTAAATCTGGGCAGCAGTGCTTAATTTGTAATGAAAGAGGTGACAGGGCTCAAGCAATTAGGTGTCATGGCTCAAGCAATTTCTATACTTTCATAATTGATGTGGCAAGTCGAGAGGTGCCAGGGCTATGAACTGCCAAGCCTAGAGGTGCCGGAAATTAACCACTGCTGGGCACACTCCAAAATACCAGAAATTGCTTCTCTGTTCCTGCCCTCAACAAAGGAATTAATTAATGTTACCCCTTTTTGACCCAAGAGGTTAGTATTTGGGATCTTGCAGGTTGATTCCCTTAGGAGCAGAAATTGATGATATACTTTCAGGTATACTTTGATGCAATCCTCTTTATTTACAAAGAATGTACAAAGTCCTGTTTCCCTGAACACAGTAAGAATCAAACAGTAGGAGACAGATTCTTTGCTGACAGTTCTGTGTGTTGCCCTTGCCTCCAGGCACCACCCCCCGCAGCTCCCATTGGCCAGGAACTGGGAACCGAGGCCAATGGGAGTTTCGAGGGAGGTACCTGGAGGTATGGCAAGGGCAGCGTGGGGAGCCCTGTGCTCCCCCATCCCCCAGGGGCCGCACAGGGAGGTGATGAGCGGCGCAGCGTGGGGCCAGGGCAGGCACGGAGTTGAGCCTGCTCTGGCCCTGGTGCGTGCCGCTGCCACCCTGGAGCCACTTTAGCTAAGCGGCACCGGGCCAGAGCCTGCACCTCAAACCCCTCCTGCACCCCACACTCCTCCTGTACCCCAACTCCCTGCTCTGAGCCCCCTGCCGCATCCCTCCTCCATTCCAACCCTTTGCCCTGAGCCCCATGCCGCACCCCACATCTCTCCTGCACTGAGCCCCCTGCTGCAGCCTGCAGCCCCGTGCAGCCCAACCCCCTGCCCTCATCCCCCTGCTGCACCCTTCCTGCACCCCAACACCCTGCCGCACCCCTCCTGCGCCTCAACCCTTTGCCCTGAGCCCCCTGTCGCACCCCATACCCATCCTGCACCCCAACTCCCTGCCCTGAGCCCCCTGTCGCATCCCACACCCCTTCTGCACCCCAACCCCCTTCCCTGAGTCCATGCTGCCGCCACATTTGAGCTTCAGCCCTCTCTTCAGCCCGCCACTTACTCTCTTCAGCCCGCCACCTCTCCTCCCGGTCATTTTGTGCCTTCCTGCACTCTGACATTATTTGCCTCCACGCATTCGTCTATGCTCTGTCAGTGTGGGAGGACAGCATGAGCTCGGAGAACATTTCATCGCGAGTGCGTTTTTTTTTCTTTCTAAGCTTCACTAGCCTCTGGGAAGGAGAAGATCCTGTGATCATTGAAACACATGCAGCTGATGGAGGAAAAAAAAGGGACAGCGGTATTTAAAAAGACACATTTTATAAAACAGTGGCTACACTCTTTCAGGGTAAACCTTGCTGTTAACTTTACATACATTGCACATGTGCTTTCGTTACAAGGTCGCAGTTTGTCTCCCCCCACCACGTGGCTACCCCCTCAACCTTCCCCCCTCCCTGTGGCTAACAGCGGGGAACATTTCTGTTTAGCCACAGGCAAACAGCCCAGCAGGAATGGGCTCCCCTGAGTGTCCCCTGAAGAAAAGCACTCTATTTCAACCAGGTGACCATGAATTAGATCTCACTCTCCTGAGGATAACACAGAGAGATAAAGAACGGATGTTGTTTGAACTCCAGCAAACATGCACTGCAATGCTTTGTTGTACAATGATTCCCGATTACGTGTTACTGGCCTGGAGTGGTAAAATGTCCTACCATGAAGGACGCAATAAGGCTGCCCTTATTTTTGCAAAGGCTTTGGGAGTACATCCAGGAGAACCGCGAATGCCAGGGCAAAGTAATCCTTTCACACGCTTGCTTTTAAACCATGTATAGTATTTTAAAAGGTACACTCACCGGAGGTCCCTTCTCCGCCTGCTGGGTCCAGGAGGCAGCCTTGGGTGGGTTCAGGGGGTACTGGCTCCAGGTCCAGGGTGAGAAACAGTTCCTGGCTGTCGGGAAAACCGGTTTCTCCGCTTGCTTGCTGTGAGCTATCTACAACCTCATCATCATCATCATTATCTTCTTCGTCCCCAAAACCTGCTTCCATATTGCCTCCATCTCCATTGAAGGAGTCAAACAACACGGCTGGGGTAGTGGTGGCTGAACCCCCTAAAATGGCATGCAGCTCATCATAGAAGCGGCATGTTTGGGGCTCTGACCCGGAGCGGCCGTTCACCTCTCTGGTTTTCTGGTAGGCTTGCCTCAGCTCCTTCAGTTTCACGCGGCACTGCTTCGGGTCCCTGTTATGGCCTCTGTCCTTCATGCCCTGGGAGATTTTCACAAAGGTTTTGGCATTTCGAAAACTGGAACGGAGTTCTGATAGCACGGATTCCTCTCCCCAAACAGCGATCAGATCCCGTACCTCCCGTTCGGTCCATGCTGGAGCTCTTTTGCGATTCTGGGACTCCATCATGGTCACCCGTGCTGATGAGCTCTGCATGGTCACCTGCAGCTTGCCACGCTGGCCAAACAGGAAATGAGATTCAAAAGTTTGCGGTTCTTTTCCTGTCTACCTGGTCAGTGCATCTGAGTTGAGAGTGCTGTCCAGAGTAGTCACAATGGAGCACTCTGGGATAGTTCCCGGAGGCCAATACCGTCAAATTGTGTCCACAGTACCCCAAATTCGAGCCGGCAACATCGATTTAAGCGCTAATCCACTTGTCAGGGGTGGAGTAAGGAAATCGATTTTAAGAGCCCTTTAAGTCAAAATAAAGGGCTTCATCGTGTGGACGGGTGCAGGTTTACATCGATTTAATGCTGCTAAATTCGACCTAAAGTCCTAGTGTAGACCAGGGCTATGACAGGCCCGCTAATTAAGACACCTGGAGCCAATTAAGAATTTACTAGAATCAATTATGGTAGGCAGGCTAATCAGGCCACCTGGTTTGGCAAGTAAGATTTCCACCTTCTCCTTGAAAAGTATCTCATTCTCTAAGAAAGATGAGATGGGGATTGGCAAAGGCATTGTGCTGAATGGGATGGTGCAACATGCTTCACAATATTCAGTACTACTTAGTCAGCAGTTAAAGCATGCAATGCCTACAGAAAATGGCCCAGCGAGTCCGCAAAGGAGGATAAAGACTGGGGGAAGGCCTGGTGGTAAGACTGGAGTCTTAAAAGTCCCATCAAATCTGGGACCCTTGTGTTTGTTTCAACAGGCAGAACTCCAGAAAGCCCAAACTTCTGCTACGCAAGATTTTCTCTTCTATTGTGTCCTGAAGGTCTATTAAGGTCTAGAGTGGGTCTTACAGGAAGTAGAGCAGCTACAAGCTAAAGTACAGTACTTGTGCTGATACCTGAGAGTTGGTATATATTGTGACTGTAACCAGATTTGCCCAGTACTTTGGGGTATTCTCATTTATTAGGGTTACTCTTCTGGGGAGGAGGGGGGTTCTGTAATTCTATCAATGTACTGCTTGTCTCTCTCATACGGAGCTCTACTTCTCCCTGCTGCAAGTTCCCTCCCAATGGAGCCTAGGTTCCCCAGGTCTGGGTTCTTCCAGCCCCAGAATCAGATGAGAACACACACACACGCTCTCTAACAGAGCGTGTCTGAGAGGACCGGGTTAATTAGCACTCCCAAGCTGACCCCTTGTGTGGAACTGATCAATGAAATTGTTTTCAGTTGTTCACTTTATTAATATAACTTCATAAGCAAAAGTTTTATGAATGAAACAACATTCATACATAAAACCGGTTACCCCAATAACGGGCTAATTGAGTTTCACTTTCAATCCAATTGCTGCTTAAATCACTGAAACTTACACTGTTTCAACATTGTAACTGCTGCTCACTGTTTGTCATTCATTATACTTGTCTATATTGTAACTTCTGTTCACTGTTTGCCATTCCTTACACTTGTCCATATTGTAACTCAAACTCCATTTTAACTTGTCCCAAACTCCGTTTTAAAATACTCACTCTGTTTGTAAAAGCTTGCTGCAACCTTCATTTTTGCAAAACCCTGCTGTAATCTTATTAGTTTAGTTTAGATGTGTGAATGAGGTATGGATGGATGATGGAATCAACCTCCAGCCCCAGCCTGTCCTGATGAAATAAAGTGTAAACACTCAACCGCTGAAGATGCAGACAACAGCCCTGACAAAGTAAGAGGAGTCCACCCTCAAAAGAAAAGAACAAAAGTACAATTGAAGAAACATCAAAACCAGGTCCTAGGCTGACAGTCATGTCTGCAATTGATGGGTGATCAATCACACCGAACCCAGAGGCAGCGTGACACAGCAAGACCCATAGACTCTGGATTCAAACTAAAGCCTACAAAAAGGATGGGTGAGATGGCAGACTTTGGAGGGTAACATTCTGCTGCCAACATGGAAGAGCATCGGTGCATGCCCAAAAGAGACCCAGCTCTTCCTTGTGCTTGGCTTTCCTGGCCAGTTAGCCGCCACAAGCTACGAACCCAAGCCACAAACTCAAGCTACATTCAGGACTGGTAACTATACAGCAGCTGCAGAACCTGTGTGTGTGCA